CTTGAGTCTCAGGCAACTGCTCTATCTATGAGCAACTGGTGTTTTGAGCCTCTGGTGTTGTCCCAATGCCCTTCTGAGCTTTGCTCAAGTACTGGCCCATATGGTCCTGTAGCTTGGTGACTAGGATGCCTGATAGGACCTTCCATGTTGTGGGGAGGCAGGTTATTGGCCAGTACTTGGACAGTTCTGTTTCCTTGTGGGGGGGTCTTTCATGATCAGCACTGTCCTTCCTTCTGTTAGCCTGTCTGGGTGGGAGCCTGCTGCTAGTAGCTGGTTCATCTGTGCTGCTAGGCATTCATAGACTGCTGTTAGTTTCTTTAGCCAGTAGGTGTGGATCATGTCTGGGTCAGGCGCTATCCAGTCTTCATGTGCTTGACCCCCTGTTGGATGTCTGCTACTATGATGATGACTGGTTCATGTTCTGGGAGATTGCTGTGGTCTTCTCTCAGGTCCTGCAGCCACTTTGCACTGGTGTTATGTGTCTTCTCTTCCTCCCAAATGTTCTTCCAGTACTGTTCAATTTCCGCTGCTGGTGGCTCAGCTGTTACTGTGTGGTTGCACTGCAGTTGGGAGTACACCTTGGAAGATTCTTTGGAGAAGAGGGCATTTATCTTCTTGGCCTCTGCTTCTCTAGTGTACAGTATCTCCTTAGCCTTGCAGCCAGTGCCGTGAGCCTTTGTTTAGAAGTCTCTAGGGCTTCAGATGGAGTCAGGCCCATATATTTTTTTCAGTAGCCAAGTCTTGTCTTTAATTTCCACACCCTTCTGTATTTCCACCAGCTGACTAACTTCTCTCCGAATTGCCTTGATTTAGTCTCCAACCTCACTTTCTGGGGGGGTATGTACTGCTGTTCTTCTTGAGCATGTAAGCCAAGCATTTCCAGGATTATAGCGGCTGTAGCATATACTAGTTTATTGGTTTGAGTTATGGTGATAGTAGGGATTGTCATGAGGGCTCTGTTGGCATCTTCTAGCATACTGTCTGATGGTACTTCTACACTGAGCCTTGGTAATTGGTCTCAAGGGTTGACTGTAGCTAGCTTATCCATGTTCTTATGCCGTGTATCAGCTGCTGTAATGGAGGGTGTGGCAGTGACGTTCCAGCTTCAGGTGTTGGCTGCACATCCAGTTGTTCTTCCAGGTCTGCTTGAGTCTGGATTGTAATGTGGAGTTGGC